TTTTCAATAGTTAAAAAAACCCTCTGTGAATGAGCATGGACACAGGAAAGAAAGCACTAACCTAGAGGTCACCAACCGGCTAACTGGCTGGGGCACTGGGGTGACAGACATACTCTAGCACACAGACCTTTCATACCTGTGGGAAAGATCCAAACGTGGGTCCTCATGCTTGTGCAACAGACACTACTGACTCACTCCCCAGCCTCCTGATTTAATAGTTTTTGAGGCAGAGTCTCACATGGAGCCCAGTCTTGGGCTTTAATCCTGTCTACCTCCTGAGTGCTGGAATTGCAGGATGTACTGTCACCTTGCTTGCTGTTTTATTTTCATGCTACTTTGCTTTCTCAGATATACAACTTACCCACAGCTTCTTACCGACTGGATATAAAGAAGCTTGAGGGCAGGAACACTGCTTTGAGAGCAGAGCATCACCCAAGCAAAAGAAGCTCTGGTGGTTTAGAAAGATGTTCCTGATCAGATAAACATAGTGTTATTCCTCCCTTTTCCTCATCCAACATGACAAGAACATATCAATAAAAATAACTGTTTTCCTTCTATTTGAGATGCCACTAAGCAATATAATATTCTAAAAACCTAACAAATATGCCTCTCATATTAAAGTTTGTTTTCTTTCCAATTTTTAAACATAAGGTCTCACTATGTGGCACCGACTGGCCTGTTGGCCTCCTATTTACAGAGATATGCCTGCCTCTGCCCCTGAATGCTGGAGTTAAAGACATGTGCTATCACCATACCTGGCTTGTTTCTTTATTTTTAAAATATGACCCATGTTTGTTGGTTTAGACTACGTTATGACTGTGTTCCTAAATCCACTGCATTTTTCAAAACACTTTTAATTCTCATTGCAACATGTTCACAAATATTTCTTTTTGCAAAAAAAAATCCTGTTTAGTTTGCTAGATATGAAAACCTGTATTTCTCTTTCCTAGCCACTACCATGAACATATTTTCCGATGAGTTGGAATTCTGCACAATTAAAAGTAAAATGGCAATCACAGTAATGGCTGTCCCTCTCCTCAGCTCATCAGGACAGGCATAGCCTCTCATGTGGTGTTCAGAAAGCACACCCTCTGACCAAAAGCAAAACAGGAGCTCCTGCTGTAGAAAGATGTCTACAAGACCCAGGCCACCTCATGGAGGAATGCCACGAATACCTAACATCCCAATTCTACCTGAGCCCTCACCATCTCTTATGGGACCACTTCAGAGACTTTTAAACTAGGTTTTCCTCCTCAATCAGGACATCCTTCTTTAAGAAACATTTTATTTATGTGTATGTGTACAGGCCAATGTACACATGTGGCAGTCAGAAAACTTGTGGGAACTGTTTTAGTTCCCATGTGGTTCCAGGGATTGAACTCCAGGGGTTGTCTGGCTCTGCATAAAGTTATACACTGAGCCTCAGGACACCTTTGACTTGCCTTCAACAAGTGTCTTTACACACTGAGCTTCAGGACACCTTCAACATTGTTACTCAACTAATCCTGAATTATAGTTACTGTTCACGATGCTTCCAACAGGTCCAAGTGCCTACAGCATATCATTCAGACCTTCTGAGGTTTAGAATTCAAGTCTGTCATGAGACCTCAGTCTATTTTCCAACATCTTTTATTATTTCACTTCATTTCACATCCCTCTATCACTCCCCCAGCTACTACACTTTCTTTCTTTCTCTTCTTCTGTGTTTTAGTTTGTACTATTCCTATGAAACCATTTTTAAGCATAGAGTCTCACCATGTAAACCAAGCTGACAGGGGTCGTGATTCTCTTAGCTTAGGTTCCAGTGTTGGGAGAATGTGCCGCCACACCTGGCAGCACAGAACTAATACATGTTTTAAAGTCTAAACAAAGAAATGAATGCACCCAATGTTCATTGCATCAATATTCCCAGTGACCAAGAACAGACTCACCTAAGCATTTGTTAGTGGATGACTGGATAAGGAAAATGAGTCTTATATTTGCATTGTATAAATTTATCAGTGTTAAAGAATGTTAAGTTGTGATGACATGGGTAAGTAAACATGGAAAACTTTGTTAAGTGAAACAAGCCATGTGCTCACAAGTAAAATATCACACGATTTCACTTAACTATGATTGCTACACTTTTATCTCACAGAAGCAGAGAGTAGAATGGTGGTTACTAGTGGTAGTGTTAAGACTACAAAATTTCAGTTAGATTGGGCAAATATATACAAGACTGCAACTAAAAATAATAATGCTGCAGTCTTGAAAACCTGAGGGCTTTTGTTTTGTTTTGTTTTTTGTTTTTTGTATTAGATGATAAGTTAGGATGTTGTTATATAGCCTAGGTTAGCTTGGAGCTCTTATATAGCCTAGGTTAGCCTTAAACTCACTATTTTTATTTTTGGCCTCAATGCTGGGTATATGGGTATGCATCACTCTAAGAGATTTCAAGTAATCTTAGCACACACAAAACAACAATGTAAAGGAATGCAATCTACTTACTTTGGGTTAGCCATACCATAATGTACCCATATCCCAAAACCAATGTTGAATCTGGTAAATACACTTTTCATTTGTCAATTCAAAAATCAAATAATAAAGAAATTCCATTTTGTTCATAATAATTGAAGATGGAAGATGCCAGGAGCTGGAATGTATGCTAGAGACTTTGATAACTATGAGTATAACCAAAATAAACTCCCAGTGTGTCCACGATTGGTCTTAGCATCCATAGTATTAATCCTTCCAGGGTGAAGAGCAGAACTGAGGTCTATCTGACTTCTGAGCTCTTGCTTCCACACTGTGCATACAATGCTGCAATGGTCTCATGTGGCTGAGTGTGCTGTACAGAAATGCTAACAATGCTGTAGAAATGTGTGTAGCTATGCGGACTTTCCAGACTTAGGACTTGACTCTCATTACTCCCTTCTGACAGACTTAGAAGAAGCTTCACAGAGAAAGAGAGGCTTTGGGAGGTTAATGCCTCTACCAAGGTCACATGACCAACAGGCACCTGCTGGAAAGAAAGTCAAGCAACTCAACACTAATCATCATACTCCCAGTTCAATGTTCTGCTAGTAAATTCTGTTTGACTGTACTAGCACATAATTGCACAAAATAATTTGGCTATTATTATGCCAGACATAAGAGCTTACTAAATATTTGCCAGATCAGGGAAGTCAGGCTGAATCATTGTTGTCAGGTTCAACTTAACAGCGGCATGGCTGCACTTGGTGTATAGTTCATGGTTTAAACTGGTTCTTTTTGTCATATGCCTTATAAGTTATGCTTGAACACTCACAGAAATGCCTATGGGAAAAGGCAGGGTGATTGGCATGTAGGCAAGTAAGTTCAGAGTGGTGATGAGAGTTCATAAACTTCATTCCCATAGCGGGTGCTCTTCTGTAGGTGACAGTCACTAGAGCCAGCACTGCAAAGAGCTAACGGCTCTGAAGAATCTAATTTAAATGGCAACATTGTAACAGAAATTGTGAGCCACATTCTTTTGGTTTTCCAGGGTTTCTCTGTGTAACAGACTGGCTGTCCTAGACCAGGCTAGCCTTGAATTCACAGTGATCCACCTGCCTCTGCCTCCCAAGTGCTGAATTAAAGGCATGCACCACCACTGCCCATCAATAATTTATTTATTTGCATTTTATCTACATTGGTGTTTTGCCCACATGTATGTCTGTATGAGGATGTCAGAGCCCCTGGATCTAGAGTTACAGGTAGTTGTGAGCTGCCATGTGGGTGCTGGGAATTGAACTAGGTATTCTGAAAGAATAGCCAGTTTGCTCTTAACCCCTGAGCTACCTCTCTGGCTGAGCAGCATTCTCTTAAAGAAATCCATTTATTACATAAGCACTTAGTTGCAAATTATTAAATTTCAAATGAAATGCTGACAATGGCATACCACAACTATTGTAATTAGGTTCTTGAAAATTACAAGTGGTGTCACGATGGGTGATGTCCTTCTGTCTATATGTTTCTCTTATTGGCTGATGAATAAAACACTGTCTGGCCAATGAGGCAGGAAGATAGGTGGGACTAGGATGAGGAGAATGCTGGGAAAGATAGGCAGAGAGAGAGCCCTACCAAACAGTTGCCACACAGACCACAAATGAATAACAGGTCTGGGCATTTTCCAGTAAGCCAAGACCATGTAGAAATACATAGATTAGTAGTTATGAGTTAATAATTAAGAGAGAGCTAGCAAATAGGAAGCACTAGCTATTGGCCAATGGTTTAATAACTAATGTAGCACCATCTGTGTGTTTATTTGGGGCTGAAGCGGCAGCAGGACCTGGTAGGACAAGAATACTCCAGAACAGTGCCATTTCTACTTCATACAAATTAGCAGCTTGCTTTACTTAAAAAGCAAAATCAGGTCAGGCATGCTTGCCTTTAATCCCAGCTGAGGCATGCAGACTTCTATGAGTTTGAGACCAGCCTCCAGACTGAACTATGGATGAGTTCTAGACTAGCTAAGAAAGTCTACAGAGTGAGATCATGCCTCAAAAGAAAAAAGAGGGCAAAAATCAGCCTTCTACATGCTCATAAGACAGTGATACTCTTTTGAATGATACCAAGCTACTTTTTCTGGCTAATTACTGACTCAGCAAGATTAAGATAGAAGAAACAAAATCTTTGTTACAGGTGACTATCACTGCCCTGGTGCCCTGAGGACATCAAGTCCCCTGACAAGTGTCTATCACTGCCCTGGTGCCCTGGTGCCCTGGTGCCTTCAGCCGAGGCAGTTCTCTGGATCTTGAGTACACAGAGAGTCACTGGTAGATCTGAGGAACTTTGTAACTCTGAAGAGATAATGCCAGCGAGTCGATTCTCATACATGTATTTAACACTGCTTTATACCCTTCTACTTTCTGTACCTCAAATGCTTTCTTTCTTAGACGTGGAAATTTGCTAGCTAACAGACATTATGTGACTAAAAATAAAAAATTATGGTTTTATGGAAGTAATGAAAAGTTTCAGGTGCATCTGCTGAACAACCGTACCTCGACAGGTGACGGGGAGTTTGACGGCAACAGGAAGGGGGCAACGGCCATCTGACTGGCGGCATCTTCGTTCCTGCGGAATGGGCAAATGGGAAGAGTCAGTGCTTGAAAAAGCTCACGGTCCTGACTTACGTTGCGTGCACTCCCTTAACCGGCAGTTTAAAATGTGTACACAACCCCACAGAATTAAACACGTACACAGAGAGAACGAGCGTGCAAAGCTGTTACACGAGGACAGCTGTTGCACTTGAGAGATACGGATATGATTACTAATGACGATGAAGCCGGGGGTTAGTAAATCCGGCTTAGGATGTCTAAGACTGGAGAAGATAATCTTGGAAAGATGTCAGCTCTCAGAACTGGGGAATGTCAATTTTTCAAACAGCTGTGCACAGCCTCTAGGTCGCACTCATGCCTACAGGGTTGTGTTCTTTGAACTGGAAACATTGCCAGCCTCCTCATTTGTCTTCAAACTTTGCTCTGTGAATGAAGGATGTCAAGATATCTGTACTGGCCCTTCATGGCAGACCATGAGGAGGAGTGATGGGTGGGGAGAGCAGAGCTCTAGAAAGACAATGCCTTGTGGTTATGCGAATGCTGCTTATTATCTTAAATGGGCAGAGCAGGGAGGAGCTGGAACTTAGTCAGCAAGGGGACAGGTGCACAACCTTGGCTACAATGTAAGTTCTGATCATCTGGCTCATTTCTGTTACCAGCAGACAGTAGGCAGTGCATTGTGGGAGATCATGACTGTCATACACTATTCATCCATCATGCAGGACCAATATAATTAAACTAGGATTTACTTAATGTGAAATCTTATCTTTTACAGATAAAAGCATGAAAACTTACAAAGATGCTTTCTGCTTAACACACTAGAGCTGAGGCTGTAGTTCAACCCTAGAACATTTACCGACCAATACATGAGGCCGTAGTTCAACCCTAGTAGTAAGAAGGGACAAATAAACAAACATAAGACCTCATATGTCTTTCCAGAAGGGTGATTTACCTGACTTGGCAGTGGGTAACAAGTCCATTGATCCATGTCATTCCCAGCTTTAGACTTTAGTCACAGTCATGTTCCTACGTTCTTGCAAGGTTTGTCTTTAGTCAATTTATAAATACCTACCCATATGTCTCCATTATGATCCAATGATCTCAACAAGATGACTATTTTCTCCAACAAGGCCACATTTACCTGTTCTACACTGACATGTCTGACTTGGGTTCTCCTGAGCTCACCATCTGCACGAATGCCCTACTTTAAGGTTCTCTACTGCATGTCTGACAAGCATCTTGAGAGAAACGACTCACACTTCCACTCAGTCTCCAGAATGCTCTGTAGCTGATTCTCACCTGTGTGTTCATGAAGACTTGCCCTCCTGTTCAACCAGGAACTAAGAGACTTTGAGACTTTCATCTGCCGTTGCACTTTGATAATCTCCATTCCCATGATTCTCTCATCCCTTCCTCAATGAGCCTGTTCTTTCTCCCTGTAAGCCCGGCTCCTACTTTCATGCCTACCTGTGTGTGCCCAACTGCATTTAATTGTGGTCACTTGCATGAGCAAGTAAGAGTATTTCTAAAAAACCCATCTCTCAGTGGTATTCCCAATCCGTGAACAAATCTTGTGACTCTACATTCAATATATATCATAAGTCTTTTCACCGCTTCCCAGCCTACCCTATATACTGGCCACCACCATTTCTCACCCCTACCAAAGAAAGCTTTTTATTTGATTTCCCATCTTACATTTCTCAGAATCTTCACTGATGTTCATTCTTCACACAGCAAAGTTAGTATGGTTTTAATAGATAAATCTGACTACATTAACCACCCTTGCCACTCCTCTTTGTCATCATTTTCTTCTGTTTCTGGAAACAGGGTTTCATGTAGCCCAGGCTGGCCTCACACTTCCTATGTGGAGGATGACAACTATAAACTTTTGCCTTTCCTACCTGTATCATGAATAATAAAAACCCATGCTGGAGTGCAATCCGTTCTGCAGTAGTTGCCCACACACAGAAAAAGCAATCTGCTAACATGGAGTAAGTAATGGAGCCTTCCCACTGGTAACTGGCCTTCCCATTGAATTGTTTCCATTGAGTAACACAACAGGGCTCATTGGAGCTTTGAGCGAAGAACCAATGGGACATACCTGCTCCAGATGAAGACAGAGCTCACAGAGCAGGGCACACTGTGAAGTAATTAGGAGATGGCTTTTCCTTTCTCTTCTGAAGGCTACGAGCATTGAAACATGGCTGCACATATATTGAAGGTCAAGATTAATTGTCTCAGGATAGCTTAAATCAGGTAAGCTATCTCTTTAAAATGTAATGATTTTCCACAAATTAGTATGACTTCAATGCCATTTTAAAGTCCACTCATTTTTTTTGAACCTCACATAGTAGAGTACAATTCCTCTTAATGGACAGAATAAGCAACAGTTGATAGCCTTTTATAATCCACTTAGTAGTGATCATTTACAAAGCCACATCAAGCTGTGGAGAGTGGCATCACAGTGACTTCAAAGAGGAAAGACACGGGAGAAAGAAAACAGAAGGAAAGATTGACACTGCAAACAAGCAGTGTGCCAAGTGACTTCCATGGAGACTTCAAGGCCTGAACAGTCTAGGAGTCTCCTAAAGAATCAAACCTGTTTGTTCTGTAATCAGACTTTTAAACAGTGGAAGTGTTAGGCACCCATATGAGATACCACCCAGAGTTGCACTCGTTTGCGTTTTTACTATTATCTCAAGCGCTGGGAGAGACAATGAAACTCGACCACAGACAAGAGTGAGAGTTATTTCAGGCCACATTTCCCTGTGTATACTGCTGTGGTAGAATATTACTTTAAGCTGTGTGACTTCTGTTTATGCTGCATTTGTTTAACTCTGTGAAGCTGTGTTACTGTACCTGCCTAAAATACCTGGTGGTCTAATAAAGAACTGAACAGCCAGTAGCGAGGCAGGAGCAAGGATAGGAGGGGCTGGCAGCAGAGAGAATAAACAGAAGGAGAAACAAGGAAGAAGAGACCCAGAGAACAAGAGGAAGACACTAGGGGCCAGCCAGCCATGGAGTATGAAGGAAAGTAAGGTGTACAGAAGTAAGAAAGATAAAAACCCAGAGGGAAAAGGCAGACGGGTTAATTTAAGGAAAGCTGGCTAGTTACATTCATAAGTAATAAGACTCCATGTGTGATTTATTTGGGAGCTGGGTGGCGAGCCCCCAAAAGAGAAAAACATTTTACTGTCTACTGCAGTAACCACAATCCCTGGGGCTATGTTCAAAGATACCTAGTGGAAGCTAAGACCAAAGTAATGCACCCTACTTATACTCCGTTTTCATACACATGGTATTCTAGTTTCTTGTCTGCTGCTGTGAAAAAAAACACTGACCAAAGAAATTTAGAAAGCATAAAATGAAAGGCAGTGTGACTGAGGTAAGTCCTGTGCTTTCTAACCTGCTTCTATGAGTGAATGACAACACGTTGCTTATGCCCAGTCGGTAACCAGCATTTCCCCACTGCTCATAGGCAGCACCTGCATGGTACATCATGTCCACACTAGACAGCACAAACACCCTGCCTTAATGAGCATGGAGCAGAGAGGTACCTTTGGAGCAACCAAACTCTCCATCCTAGAGAGTCAAATTTCAGAGCAGGTACACAGAGTTCAGTACTATGTCATCAAGAGACTACCATAGGCTATCCTCCAGTTACTACAGGGCTTGGCAACTCCCCTGTGCAGACATCTCTAGAGATGCCCCGGTGCTTTCTCTTTAGAAGTCTTAGTGGTTCCTGTTGATAATCAGTGACATGTCTCTGTATTCTCCTAACAGTGTCTCCCCGTTTTTGTTAAGACAGAGTCTCAGGTATCCCAGGTTGGCCTCTAACTCATCAGCTGAGAATGTGACTCTCTTATTGTCACCTCCCAGTACAGGGATTATAGTCTTCCGTCAGGATCACCAATTTATACAGTACTGGGCTAGAACCCAGGGTTTTGTGCATGCTAGGCAAGTGCTTTACCAACTGAGCTACACTCCAAGCCTGCTTTCCTTTTAATTTAAGCTGGTTAGCATTTAATTGGTTGAAGCTCAATGATATTGCTCATTTTATTTTGAATATGTACATATAGTTGACACATGTTTACAATATGAATATAAAATGAATAAAACATGATTACCGCCTTGATGATATCAGTAATTAGAGAGGAATACAGCAAACAAACAGAAAATTACAATTGTAGAATTACTACCCTCGGGATGTCAGTTTAGCTTTTCTCAATATGATATTAAGAACACTACAATTCAGTCTCTTATTTGTGGAATATATTTATAGCAAAATATATTTTGGATCCTGATTTAAATTCCTCTTTGTTAAAAAAAATATCACTCTCATGGGGCTCGGAAGACAACTCAGTGGGTAAGAGTACTTCCTTGCTCTGTAAGTATAAGGACCTGAGTTCAAATCCCCAGCACCTGCACAAAGAGTTGGGTGTGGCTGGGTATGCCTGCAACCCTAACATTGAGGAGTGGAGAACCCCAAGAGCTTACTGGCCAGCCAGCCTCGCTCAAATAACAAGCTTCCATTTCATTGAAAACCCTGCCTTAAGGCAACAGGGTAGAGAATATTACTCTGTGTTGAGTAGTCAGGAGGCATGGGGTTTGTGTGGTTCATATATGTGTACCTGTGTGCTTAAACGCGGAGGCCAGAGCAGCACACAAGCAAATACATGCACCACCCCACATCACACCCACAGAAATACACTGGCACTGGTGAAAATCAGTGGACTGGGCAGAATGCTAAGAGAGCTGCTAAGATTTCCGTCCCTTGTACACACAGCCAACAGTGAAGATGGGTCTGCGATTTACGTTACCCCATCAGCTTACGTTACATAACCCAGCTGACTTCAGGATAATGGGAGATTACCTGATTGTTCCTCAACTAATTACGAGAAACCTTAAAACAGAAATGTCATGTCTCAGAAAGGCAGTGTCCTGACCTCTTAGTCAGATTGTTTGTCTGAACTCTAAGCTGAAGAGTTCTTCCTGGAACACCTTGAACACACAGTT